TTTGGGGCATAAATTCCCAGTATCAAAGTCTTAGTCCCATGCAAATTAACTTCCACCCCAATAAATCTACCATGCTTATCAGTCAATACAAGTTCTGGTTTTAGTTGGGTATTATATACAAAACAACTCAATTTCTTTCTTTCTTATTGTTCCTGCTGAAATCAATTCTTCACCCAAATTTTTATAAATCAAATATTTTATGTCTGTTATTCTAATATGTGTCCCTTGTAGGCAAATTACAAGATTGATGTCAGGCCCAGCCCAAGAACAATGAAATAGTCCAGTCCAGTTCCTTTATTAGCTTACATATCATCGTCATCTTTATTACGGTCACGGACCAGAATTACAAATAAAGATACATTAAAATACATTGAAATACATTAAGAATACATTAAATGAAATGAACAGCACATGATAATGTATTTACAGATTGGTGGGGTCATCTGTGGGCAGTCAAAATCTGGCTGGCTGGGGAACTCTAGGAGTTGAAGTCCACCCATCTGAAAATTGCCAAGGTTGAGAAACTTTGCTCTAGAGGCAGAGATCTCAGTCTAATCTATTTCACAAGGCTGCCCGGAGCTCCTGGAGAAACAGTAGAAGATAAATGTAAGGACTTAATAAGGGACCACTCACAAATATTTGGATCCCCCTGCTTGCATTTCCACTTTTAGTTGGTTCAGACTAACCCATCAGGATAATGCAATCAATCATCTTCTGTTTTATGGAAGATTTTCTACTGTTGCCAAGATATGGCCCTTGATTGCTCTCTGCAACAAAAATGACCGGTCAGTTGCAGTATGTGTTGTTCTGTTGCACACATGCATCACATGCATGCGTTTGTATTAGTGCTGAATTGGTACCCAGGGCTAAAAGTTGGCTCCTGGATTTGAAAGGATTCAAAAGATGCTCTGAATCCTTGCTGATGAAGTTTTATGGGGAACAGGCCTCTCTAAACAAGCACGTGGATGTCAATGGCTTTTCAGATAATTGGATCGTTTGACTCTGCCAGATGGTTGAATGCATTGTTATTGGGGATCCAAAGGGGCCCTTGGGGTTTCTAGTCACTTAGTGGGTTCCTATAACTGGGCTTTCAAAGGCAGGATGATGCAGAATCAGTAAGATTTCTCCTGGCATGGAAACAAACAGAACCGTTCAAACGAAGATTTTTGAGGTTGAAACCACCCAAGCTGAAAATGCTCCATTTTGAGGGCAAAGCAGGAATTTTGCAATGGGGATGGGGTGTTTTGAATTTGGGACAGTTTGATTTCCAACATTTGGCACACTACTAAAAACAACGTTGTTGTATTTGAGGGGGGGGTGTTAGCAGGGGTTTCTTGTCCCCCTCCCTTTTCTTTTTTCCTACTGTTTCTGTGAAAGAATATAGATTTGACCTTGGGATGTTGAGAAAAGAAAAGATGACCGAGAGGAAAGTGTGAGAAAGAAACTCAAAAGAGCCCCACGTTGATTTTGCTTAGGATAAGATGGGACAGAGAGATACTTGAGCAGGCTTTCAAAATTCTGTTGTTTTAGCTTACCACAATAAAAAGCATTCCTGGAACCTCTGCCATGCCTGCTTCTTGACCTGGCCTACCTCAAAGGGCTGGTGTTTTTCTTTTTTCCCCATTTCATTTTTTTAAAAAGACTTGCTTTTTAATATTTGGTCATTCCAGTTCTGTGTAATGAACTCGTGGAGGGACCATTTGTGAAAAGACATTTCTGTGGAGTGACTGGTTGTGGAGTTCTGGATGGTTCTTTGTCTCAGAATAATGGGGTTACTGAAGTGGGCTCATGTTAGTGGTGCATCACAGCAGTTAGAGCTGGTGTGGCTTCTCAGCATTTTCCCCCAATGCTTGTTTATTCTGGTAAATAATTACAAATCATGAATTATACATGATGATAAATCAAGACCAGTCAAACAGTTTGATGCTGGGCGTATGTGTTTTTTACAAGCCTGACCCCGGTTTTGCTTCAGAATCAGCAGCATAATTTCTTCTCACCATCTCCAGACCACAAGTTCATGAAAACTGTGATGTAAGCCTGAAAATAGCTTTTAAAAATGAAGAAAACCTGCAAATTCTTCTGCTCCCGAAACTAAAGAAAAGCCAGAATCCCCTTCCCCCCATTTTGCAAAGCATAGCTGTGCTCTGAATGCCAAGCCAGCATATTTCAGCTGGTTGAGTTGTGGGTGAGGGAGGGAAGGTGAGAGGAAGACCCAGCGGGCTAATACACGTGGCTCATGTTGCACTTCTTAGTGGGGAGAGAAGGCAAAGAGGCACAGAGGGAGGCTTGGCTGCTCACGTGAAGGAGGCTGGGAAAATGCTAAGAAGATGGGTGGATGGTCAATAGCCCTGTCCTGGGGCATGGTGGTGATTCCTTTCTTCCACCCTGGCATCTGCTCTGTAAAGCCCCATCCAGGTGGGCAGGATCAAGAAAGCAACGATTTGTATTGTCGAAGGCTTTCACGGCCGGCATACGATGGCTGGTGTGGGTCTTCCGGGCTGTGTGGCCGTGTTCTTGAAGTTTTGTTTCCTATCGTTTCGCCAGCGC